TGCGCACTCGGTTTTAAATGCAGACTGCACCCCTGGGGCTGGGGGGAGTCAGTAAGTCGTAAGCACCCACAAATAGCAAAGCTCACGAGACATTTGGAGCAAAAGCTCCATAAAGGAGTCCAGTTTAATCCTGCGCCAGTCAGCAAATGCTCCCCGCCAGTGAGGTTGGCTGGGCTTCCAAGCAAAGCGCGGGCAGTTCAATTGATTGTGGGTTATTGAAGACACGGAATGTATAGAAATAGAGGCGTATCCCTTTAAATAGTTTGTAGGCCCTCCAGGGGCGCTCACCGTGTTCTGTGTTGCGGAAGCGGCCAGGGCAGCAGCATGTGGCGCTTGACCTGGCTTTTCTTTTTATACATTTAGTAAACAGAGTTATTTGGGACCCAACAACGTACTGTAGGGAACAAACCCAGCTAGGCGGAGGGAATGGATAACAATCCCCCCATCTCCAACACCTACGAGCGTTGCTAATGAGCCCTAGGAGCATGTAGCAAGAGGGACGGGAGGCCTCTAAACACACTGGCAGGACTTGCTCGCTGGACGGTCGCTGTCTCGCTTGACGTCACTGAGCGTGAATCTCCAGAGCAGGAGCCAGGCTCCGTAGCCAGGGCCTGGGAGATGCTCAGCTCGTCCGAGGCTCAGGCACAGAGAGCGACACGACACACACGGATCAGCAGGCTGCATTAGCGGGAAAGGATTGGCCCGGGCTGGCTAAGCAGTAAGCATGGGGAAAAGCCGGCAGAGGCAGGGGAAGAGGAACGCCTCCCTGCGCCCGTGACTATTGCATGGAGATCCAGGCCGACATGGCTCCTTCCCCGGTATCATTAAGACCGTGTTTTTACCAGCAGGGTTCTCACTCCCACCCCCAGGGGAACTGGGCTCTGCTTGACGTCCCACCCCTCTGCCTGGTGGGGTGAGACTCCACCGAGACGGCCTTATTGCCCCCCCTCATTCGTACGTATGCCCCGGGAGAGGAGGTCTCTCTCCAGAGGCTGTTAGGGCGTCACTGAGCTGAGCGCGCCCGCAGGGTGATCTCCATTAGGCTGGAGGTCCCCAGATCCCTCCACAACCAGGGTTCTCAGGTGTGGAAATGCCCCCAAGGAAGCGGGCCCTCCATCCAGCTGTTGGCTGCATCGCCAGCACGACCCATTCAGGGGCTCACAGGATGGGCTTTGGAAGCAGATCCTCCAGCCAGGCTCCCGGCTGGGACCAGAGCTCTCTGGGCTCTGAGGGGTAGGTTGGGGCCAGGGAGCAGTAGAGCTTGGTGGTGCATCACCGGGATATGCCCAGACGATCACTGTGGAATATTCCACCTTGCTTTGGCGTCTTGCCTGGGAATGGTCTGGGGTGGTCACGTCTCCTCGGAGGAAGATGGTCTGGAGAGGCTGCCTGTATTTATCTCCGGCGCCAAAGGCCTCTGCTGCCCAGGTGCTTTCCAGGAAGGACTTGCACATCATCATCTCCTCCTGCTGGCCACAGATGATTCCCGAGACCCCCCGGAACGGGAAGTCGGGATACCCCGCTCTCTGCTCCTTGCTCTGCTCCACTGGGAAGTTCCCCAAGTCCTGCAAGGGAGAGGAGGTTACATGGAGAGCTGAATGAATCATTGATTTTTCTGGTTTGAGGCAGATGCCCCCCCTTCACAGAAAGGAAATGGTTTGGTCTGAATCGAAACTGAATTATTTGGGGTTTTTCTCACTGAAACAAACAAATTCATTTTGGGTCGAACTAAAATGTTCTGTTTGACTCTGAACAATTTCGTTCCCCCCCAGTTTTTTGGGGCAGGTCATTTTGGGGTATTTTTCACCTGCCTTTAAAAAAAAAAAAAGTTAGCAAAATTTCAAAAGAAAAATGCCGTTTGGAAACAAAAAGCAAAATGGCCAAACTGTTTTAATTCCTCCCGCTTCATTTTGTTTTTCCAGCCGAAACTATCTGCTGAATTCAACCGAAATTCACACGTCATTTCGCTGTCTCCCAAATACATTTTTTCCGTGAATTTACTATCTGCCATAAACATGCCCCCCAGTGCTAGTAATGCGCACAGCAGCTGGTGCCCTATGACTGCGGCAGCCAGCGGGTAAATTACATGTGCCCCTCCCACCCCCCAGTAACATGATGGTGCCAGCCAATGGCACACAAAGGGTGGGGAGAGTGGCTCGGTGTGACTGGGGACCTGGCAGAGGCCCGGAGATCTCCCAGCCTGGGTTGTCTCTCTCCATTCCACTCCCGCCTTCTCTCTGTGCTCCTTGGAGACATGACCTCCAGGTCTTACGGCACTGGGTGGGGCGGGTGGAGGGAGACGCTTACAGCCTGCTCCCAGTATATTTGCCGGAGACAGCGACCAATTCCCAGCGTACGGAGCAGGAAACCCTTGGGCAGGGAGGGGGGTAGCGGACAGGTGTAGCCAGCTATTAGCAATCCTCATATTGGCAATTTTCAGTTATTAGCAACATTTGGCTGGGGACAGAGCCTGACCACCCCGGCTTTCACGTTCAAAGGATCTGGATATTAGCACCTGCCTGGCCACTTACTAACACTATTTTTTGTTAGTGTGCAGCCCTGCAGGCCCCCAGCACCCAGCTCCTTGTGGACTTCCCCAGGACTGCCCCACGCCAGGGGCCTTCCTCTGTCTTATTGGCAACATTCGGTTAATTAGCAACTTCCTGCTGGGAGCAGAGAGGCAGCTAACACACAGCACCCACCATATCGCTGTGCAGAAAAACGTGTACTCACCAGCCACATTTTCTGTGGCAGCCAGCTGGCCAGGTGGCTTTTAGCAGGGTCAGGGACTTGCGGCCACAGGCAGCCCTGTATTCTGTAGAGGACGAGACCCAGCATTGGTACTGAGATGACCACGTCGAGGAGGGAAACGCCTCTCTCTACGTTCTTGTGACTAGCATGGTCTCCCCAGGGACTGGTGGCTCCTTAACTAAGGCCCTGACACTGGATCTGGAGGTACCAGACTAGGGGGCTGGTCCAGCGCTCACTGAAATCAATGACAGTCTGAGCTTTGCTGATCATGTCTGCACTGCCTAGGGATGCCTACGGCATTGACTGACCTCCCAAAGTCCTGTCCCAGGATGCCCCGGGCTCAGGATTCTGGGAGCGGACTCTCTTTGGTTGCCCCAAAGCTCTCGCAGGAGTCCTGAAGGGAATGCTAAGCTCACAGGGACGCTACGTGTTTTAAAGGGAAAGATGAAGGCCCTTTTGTAGGTAGGAAAAGAACTGGGAGTCCACATTTCTACCGGAGCACTTCCCATCCCAGAGGGCTCGGCAAACTCTGCCCAGGAATTCCTGCACCTACCACTCAGATGCAGATCCCTGGGCGTGGCAACCTGCCGTGAGGGGACGAATCCCGCCCTGGCTGGGAGATGGACGGGGTGCGACCTCGTCGGTCTCTTCCAGCTCTGACGTCTAGGATGCTGCCAGTCCCCTCTAGGGGAACGAGGCGGGTTTTTAACAGCACCTGGCGCCCCTATCCTGCCGCTCGGGACAAGGAGGGGAGAGGAATGTTGTGTCCAGCTAGAGCTGCAGGAACAATCGGGAGGCGGAAGGGGACGTAGGACACCAGGGCTAAAATCTCCTTGGCAGGAAGTGCCAGGAGATCATTCGCGGCCAAAAGCCCTCCAGGGGTTGAGTGTAAATCCTCATCAACAGGACAGATCCTGCGTTGCACTCCCATGCGCCATGCTGGGGGACGGGGCTTAGGGCCGTCTCAGCATGACGAGCATCCTTCGCTGAGTTACCTACCACCCTCCCCAGCCCCACGCTGACTCAGCAATGTGGTAGGGGGCACTCTCTTCTCAAACGCCACTTCCTTGCAGTATAGAACCTAGGTGTTCCTTGGTGGTCCCCCATCCAAGTACTAACCAGACCCGACCCTCCTTAGCTTACAGGATCCAACCGGGGGGGGGGGGGGGCCCATCCCCCCCCCCCCCTGACACTCAGAAGGGTGGCCGGGATGGGACTCACAAACATACGTACAGGGGGTGCTTGAGGACGCAGGCCAGAGCGGCCGTGATGAGCAGGACGACTAGCCCCATGCACAGGGAGGACAGCAACAGTTCAACCTTCCCATCGTCTGGAAAGAAAGCAGGGAAAGGCTTTAGGTGCAAAGCCACTGGGGACCCACGAGCAAGAGCCCTTGGGAGCCTGCGCTGCAGCCCCCCAGCTGGCGCTAGGGGTTTGCCCAGGGACAGTCTAAGACCTACAGCAGCCCAAAGGGACTGTCTCCCATTCGCCGCTGCCCCGCATGATCCTTTGCACCCGTGCAAGGCGGGTGTAAGACGGGACCATTCTGGCTGGGGAGCCAGGCCTTGTGAATGTATCCAACGCAAAATAGAGAGACCGATCTCAAGCCTTAGGAAGCCTGGAAACTCTGGCTTATGGGGAGATGCTCACCCCAAGGGGGAGAGGACCAGTATGGGGATGTAAACAGAAGCAATGGGATGGAGGTGGGCAAAGGGGGAAATGTAGCTGACGTGCAGAATCGAGAGCGATCCAGCAGAGGAATCACCTGCCCCAAGGAAGTGGTGGAAGCCCTATAGCTTGGTTGGAGCACGTGCTGCTCCATCCTACTTTGGCCAAGGGACAGGCTAGATGTGCCCAAGCGGGTCTTTGCCATCTCATTTCAGTGCCCGCTGAACCCCCAGCACCCCCAGGCCAGGGCATAGCGCCCGGTTCTCTACTTTCCTCACCAAGGCTTCTGGTTCTGATGGAGAGGACAGAGCCCTGCGTGCTTCCCCCATCGTTGCTGATGGAGATGCCCACCCTCACCACGGAGTCAGGAGCCAGGCCCGCGATGAGATAGCGATGGACGGAGCCGTTCACCACCACAGCTGTAAGACAGGAGATGCCGCTGCTCAGACCCAGCGGGTGAGCCCAGGCCCGGCCAGCATGGCGCACAAAGCCAGTTGGTGCCTTACCCTGGGCGTCTTTTCCCTGCTCCTCATAGGAGATGGTGTAGTTCCGGATGAAGCCACCTTGCTCCTCCAATGGGACCTCCTCCCACTGCACCTCCACCTGGGATGGCCAGACACGGGTGGGATGCAGAGTTGGGGCACGGAATGGAGCTGCAACCACAGAGGGGGTGTCGAGGAAAGGGTTAACCAGCCCCATCCCAGGCACCCAAAGCGGAGGTCCCCTCTCCCTTCATTCACAGCTGTGTATTTTAGGTTTTTCATCAGAAGGATTTCAAAGCCTGCCACAAATATTAACCCTTTCCATCCCTCCCCACAACTCCATTAATGCCCATTTTACAGGTGGGGAAATGGAGGCATAGAGCAGCAATGTGACCTGTCCAAGGCCATGCAGCAGGTCCGTAGCAGAGCTGGGAATAGAACCCAGGAGTCCTGCCCTAACCACTAGACCCCACTCCCTCCTCCTTTCAGGAATGAAAGCTTCCACACCGACAGAAACCAGAAGTCCTCAACTCCAAGTCTCCTAGGAGCTCCCCAAACCACCCTCTGGTTTCAGGGAGAGAGGAGAAGATATGAGCTCAGCCGGAGACACAACGGTCTATGCTAATCTTCATACCAGACTAATGCTTCCCCAGCAAAGCCACTGGCACTCTTCAGTGGCCCCTGCGCCCTTTCCCACATCGCTGGCTGGAGCGCTGCCGGGTTTCTCCTAGGGGTGGAAGGGATCTGGCTGCGTCTGCCCCCAAACACTCGGCACCTACCGATCTGCTTGGAGTAAGCGCTTGTAGAGCCTGCAGCCCGGACAGCTCCGTCGCTCAGGGCAAAGAGTGTCAGGCTGTAGAGATACCCCGGCTCAATTGCCTCTGCGGGGACATGACAGGGACAAGCGACGGTGAAACCTCCCGTCTCTTCCGCATCACAGCCCCAGGGGACGTGCACCCAAAAGCATACCCTCCCTGCTTCCCGCTGCAGTCCCCTATGGGGTGGGAGGCTGCAGGAGAGCGTTGGGGCAAGGTGGGTCCAAACAAACGAACGGACATTTCTCTAAGCGGGAGCACATCTGACAAGACGACTCAACCCACATGCTTCAGGGTATCCACTGATCACCATACAGGATCAGGAAGGAATCAACCCTCCGCTCCATGCCTATGAAGCCCTCAGCATCACCTATTGTTGGACTTGCCTGTTCCCAGCTGGTAATTCCTATACTCCTGCCTTGCCTGGCTAGCCAACCTCACACCCAGACTGGGGGACGTGGGCTGATGACAGGGTTTGAATGTGGGACCTGCAGTACTAAAAACCTGAGCCCATAACCCCGGAGCTAGAGGAGTAACTCTGCAAGCTAGGACCAGTAGTAGGTTCTTATCCTCCTCAATTACTAGAGGAGGACAAAGACCCACCTCTCGTTGGCTCAGTGCCGTGTGCACTGAGAGCGCCCTGCAGGGGCTTGTTCATGACACTAGGTCTGATGTGAAGTCCTAACTAGGAACGTGGAGGGGGTCCTGCCTCAGTTTCCCCCTTCCCCTCCCCCCCGCTCTGTCGCTTCTGTAATCACTCACCTGCCAGGACCGCCCTGCTGATGTTCCCCGGCTCGTAGCACCAGCTGCTGTTCTGCCCCCGGTTCTCAGACGCCCGGCCCCACTCGAAGACATAGGCTGCTGCAGCGAAGCCAGGGGGATCCCACTGCAGGAGGAGGCTGCGGTCGCTCGCCGGAGAGACCAGGAGTGGCAGCGGCGGCGGCACTGAAAGGAGCCCGGGGATAGTGGAGAGGGAGGCACACCCAGGGCTGGGCTTCGGGTGCCCACGTTGCCATGGGGGAAGGACAGTTTGCCTCTCTCCCCCCAGACCCTGTGCTGAAGGGGAACTCGGGTCAGGTGGCGCAATGCCTCCCTTGTGGTCCCTCTGCCTGGGCGAGGAGAGATGGAGCCAACAGGGTCCCGGGAGGCTCCCAAGCATCTGTTGCTCTGTGGGGCCGTGCTGTGCACACATGCTCCAAGAGGGCAGTGCACTAGTGGGGCTCCCCATTGTATCACCCCATTGCCGGGGGTGCAGCTCAGACTTCCCCAGCCGGGGTCCCATTATGGACTTCGCCCCCCCGTGGGAACACAATGCCGCAGTGCTCCCGTCTGGTTGGGAGCCGCCCTCACATAGTGATAAGTGCCTGATCCCCCCCACCCCGCCTGGCACAGAACTCCTCCCGCATCCCCCTGCAGGTCTAACTCAACTGCACAACCAAGGGCCGGCCAGGCCACCACTCCACCCTGCTGAGCTCTGCCTTGGGAGTGAGACCCGTGCTTGGGGCGGAGAGATCAGGCTGGGTCTAACCTGCTTGGGCCTGCACCGCCGGGATCAACAGCTTGCTAGCGGGGGACTCGCCCACGGAATTGCTGGCGGTGAGGAAGAAGGTGTGTTCCTCGGAGGCCGGCAGCTCCAGAGCGCACTGCAGGGAGCGGGTGAGGCATGCCAGCACGACAGCCGGCTGCCCCCTTCGCTGCCAGCGGAGACTGTAGGTCAAGATCCTGCCGTTGGCTTCCTTTGGCTGCAGGGGCTGTGAGGGAGAAAGCAACGTCATGCCGAGCCTCACGGCAGTGCAGACACGGGGAGACAGGGATGGCTGAGCTCTCCTGCTAGAACTGGACTGAAAGAAGGACACAGTAGAACTGACTGAGAATGGACTTTCCCCCACCACAAAACATGTTTTCATTAAATAGCCCTCTTGATCCTCAGATTCTCGATGAAAAGCTGCAAGCTAGGAGCAGTAGTAGGTTTTTTTGGACAAAAATGGAAAAATTTTGCAAAAATGCCCATTTTAATCAAGGAAAACCCTTTTTTCTGGAAACAACCAACCAACCAATCCCAAACAAAACAGTCTGATATTTCATTTCCAAGCAGCGCCAACATCATTGCAAACAGGGAATCATCAAGCGGGTGCGTTTCTAGTGGGGTCCTGCAGGGATCAGTCCTTGGCCCGACGCTATTTAAACATGTTTGTCGATGACCTGGACGAGAACATAAAATCATCACTGATGAAGTTTGCAGCTGCCTCTAGGACTGGGGGAGTATTCAGTAATGAAGAGGGCAGATCACTGACACTGAACAATCTAGATCGGTTGGTAAGCAGGGCGCAAGCAAACAATATGTGTTTTAATACGGCTGCATGTAAACGTGGACACCTAGGAACAAAGGATGTCGGCCCTATTTACCACACGGGGGCTCTCTCCTGGGGAGCAGGGACTCTGAAAGAGACTGAGGTCATGGACGATAACTGGCTGAACTGAGCTAATGAGACCCTTGGATGCATAAACAGGGGAATCTCGAATAGGAGCAGAGAGACGGTTTTACCTCTGTATTGGCACTGGTGCGACCGCTGCGGGAACAGTGTGTCCAATTCTGGATTCCACAATTGAAGAAGGATAAGGATAAATCCGAGCGGGTTCAGCGAAGAACCACAAGAATGATTAAAGAATTAGAAAACCTGCCTGATAGCAACTGAGCTCCTTGAGTCTATCTAGTTAGCTTAACAAAGAAGGGGTGACTTGATCACAGGCTATAAATAGCTACGCAGGGAACAGATATTTGACGAGCCCATTATCAATCTAGCAGACACAAGTATAATCAGATCCAATGGCTCCAAGTTGAAGCTAGACAGATTCAGACTGAACATAAGGTGTAAATGTTTAACGGTGAGGTTAATTAACCACTGGAACAATTACCAAGGGTCATGGGGCATTCTCCATCAGTGACAATTTTTAAATCAAGGGAGGATTTTTTTTTTTAAGATGGGGTCTAGTTCAAACAGGAATTATTTTGGGGCAGTTCTCATAAGAACATAAGAGCGGCCATACTGGGTCAGACCAAAGGTCCATGTAGCCCAGTATCCTGTCTTCCGACAGTGGCCAATGCCCCAGAGGGAATGAACAGAACAGGTAATCATCAAGTGATCCATCCCCTGTCGTCCATTCCCAGCTTCTGGCAAACAGAGGCTAGGGACACCATCCCTGCCCGTCCTGGCTAATAGCCATTAATGGACCTATACTCCAAGAATTTATCTAAAACTTTTTTGAACTCTGTTATAGTCTTGGCGTTCACAACATCCTCTGGCAAGGAGTTCCACAGGTCGACTGTGCGTTGTGTGAAAAAAAATACTTCCTTTTGTTTGTTTTAAACCTGCTGTCTATTAATTTCATTTCTCTGGCCTGGGCCATGAAGGAGGTCAGACTAGATGATCACAACAGTCCCTGCTGACCTTGGAATCTAAGAATCGAATACACAGAAAACATAGGAGAGAAAGAACAGGTGAGTGTTAGAGAGAACCAGAGAGTGTGAGTGAGAGAACGTGAGCAAGTTCAGGAGAGAACAAGGGACCAAGACAGACCAATAGAAAGTGTGATTGAGGAGGAGATGGAAAGTCCGAGGGACTCAGAGAGAGAATCAGCTATGCTGATGGCCTTGTTCCTATGGAGCAGTCTGCATCAGGGCAATGGCCCCTCACAGTACGTCTACACTGCACACTAAGCCCAGAGTCTGACTCAGGTTTGAGCCCAAGCTCCTCTTTTGTCCACACACAAAATCAGTCTGACTCGAGTCCGCAAGCAACTCAGGATCTGAGTCCTAGAACCCTGCTGGGGACGGGTTGGGTGAGAGCACAAGTCCTGCTGTGACTCAGGTTCAAGCCCTGTCATTTTGCAGTGTGGACACAGCTCAACCCACCGACCTGAGTCAGAAGGGCTGCATAGTGGAGCGTGGACAGGTTAAGCATGGCTGTGAGACCTGGGTCCAGCAACCGTAAAGCCAGGTTTACAACGCAGCGCGGACACTGACGTCCACAAGCTTGGGTGACACAGAGACGCAGGCTTAGTCTGCAGTGTAGCCATACCATGCTGCGTCAGTACTGCGTCACCAATGCGCCTGTTTGCATAATGCTTGAAGAGACAGGAGATAGCCACACGTCCAGGCTGGGACTGCAGCTGGTGGAGAAATATCGGCTGAACGTTTTTCCTCCGGTCGGAAAATGTCAATTTGTTGAAACCGAAACTTTTCAGTAGGAATGTTCAACGAACCCTTCAGTCAAAACCAGAGAAAGAGAGAGAATGCGAGTGACTAGCCAATGGACTGGCTGCTTTCCTCAGGGGGTGGGATAGCTCAGTGGTTTGAGCATTGGCCTGCTAAACCCAGGGTTATGAGCTCAATCCTTGAGGGGGCCATTTAGGGATTCAGGGCAAAAATCTGTCTGGGGATTGGTCCTGCTTTGAGCAGGGGGTTGGACTAGATGACCTCCTGAGGTCCCTTCCAACCCCAATAGTCTATGATTAGGGCCAGGAGAGTTGCCCTATGAGTCATCTCTAAGTAACAAGTGCCTGGTCCCCCTCACCTGTGGGGTTGTTGGGTGCCCACTCCAGAATAGCTAATTGGTTAGGGCCCTCACCTGGGAGGTGTGACCCAAATCCCAACTCAGGCAGAGCAGGGGCTATTGTGGGTGGGGGTCTCTCATGAAAAGTTTCAAAAGGTCGTGGCTTAGTTCTGATGTGGAATGAAACCAAATTTCAAAACCTCATTTTTTTTTTTTTTTTTTTTTAAACAAAACCCGGAATTCTTGTTTTCCACCCAGCCCTAGCTGGGACACCAGCCCACATACAGCCCAGCTCCTAAATCCTTTCCCAACCCTTCCCCGGGGCAAACAAGTAACGGTTTGGGAATGTAAAGGCTAAATGTGACCTGGATGGTCCTCTCTCTCTTGGGGCTGGCCTGGTTGCATTTGCAGAGCGTGGTCTCCGAGTTCTATCCCTTGGGGCTTGTTCCTGGTTCTGATGGCTACTCATGTCTGGGAAGGGATCTCCCTTTGGGTATAGTTCTCCGCTCATGCCGGCATGAATCAGGAGCAGCTCTGCTTAAAATCAGAGTGAAACGAGCGAGAGGAGAAGGCAGGGCCATTGATGTCAATATGGCTTTGCCAGCAGAATGAAACCTTAGACCCAGCCCTAAAAGCTGGGGATTCTCAGTCAGGGGCCCTGGGACAGATGGTTCCTGTTTTATAATTGTACTTCATGTTCTTTTCTTTGATCCCTAACTGCTGCAGGGGCAAGCACATGGAGTCAGGCCTGGAGTCACCCATGACACGTGCAATGCAGGACTAATCCAATTCTTTATCCCAGCCCCTTCCCAGGTGGTGTGTCTGGCCTGGATCCTTGCTTGGCCCCCTACCTTCCACATCAGAATGATCTCACTCCTCCCGTCAGAGTCGGGCGTGGCTATTCTCCTCCAAAGAGCCGGCCCTCTGGACGGGGCTAGGCGGTGGCCGTGGGCAGGCGAGGGCAATGCGGGAGATGCAAAGGAGAGAAATGAAGTCATTGAGAGAGGGTTCTGCAGGGAGGGAGCTGAGAGCAGAGGGTATAGATTGCTCTGTGCTGCTACCTGGGGGAGACCGTACCAGACCCACCCCCCACACCCTCGTAACCATCAGTGACAGGGGAGTTTGTTTAACCCTTCGTGGTGAATATAATTTGTATTATAGGAGCACTCAGCTAGGATCTGCACAGCCCCACAGAGACACACATTCCCTGCCTTGAGGAGTGGATGGTCGAAGATGGCACCCACAGGGTGGCGGGAAGGGGTGCAACATACAAGCCGAGAGAGATCGGGGTGATAGCAGGCAGGTGGCTTGGGCATGCTAGCTAAGTGCTGGCACAATCAGGGTTACCCACAGGGCACGAGGAGACGACCCAT